AGAAAATAAACTCCCAAATATTAAAAACTGAAACCCATTGTGTATGAAGTAGTTAATCTAAAAAGTGTCTGGGATGATCGAGAAGAGAAAAACGAATACGTACAACAGTATCTGGCAAGGGTTTTTGTTCTCTAAAGTATCTGGGAATCCCTCTCATTTAGAAGAAAGTTACGAAAGCATTGGCTAGCATTGTGCTTAACAAAATAAAGATGGAGTTCAACAGTTGGAAAGGGAACAAATTATATATCTTTCTGCATCTGGAAGGGGAAGCATTATATTGATCCGATCAGTGATTACTGCGTCAACCATCTACAATATGTGTAGTTTCCATTGGTCGGGCGATCCTAGCTTCCACATATATACACTAGTCGGAGCCCGTGGGAAAATTCGGATATTTCTATGTGATGGAGTTTTTCTTTGAAATAACTCTTACTTTGAGATCAGATTTTTTTTTAAATCCAAACAATATATGGAAACTATATTATCACAATGAAATAAATGATTTAAACTATTTTGGTAAAGTTTAAAAAAATAATATATTCACCATATATTCTTACATTGGATTACAAAAATATATCTACCATTACTGTAACAGTTTAGTATATATTTATTGCAGTGGTGACTATTAATATTTTTCTTCACACATTTGTTTGGAGTGACTATAAGTTTGTAACAGGCCTCTTGCTTTACATGCTGCTTTATTTGAAACTCTCTTTCTGAATGCCATCAAGCTTCTTTATATCGTTGTAATTTTGATTCCCGCCTTTTACAACTTTAAGCAACAATTGCAAATAGTATCTTTCGGTTGATGTTTGATTTGAATCGTACATTCTCCCAATCTGTTGCTTGTTTTTAAATTTCTTCCAAACTTTTTCTCTTTGTACCCATTCCCACTTTGTAGGAAACGGTTCATATGTCATTTCTCTTGCATCATCTTGTAACGAATTTGTATGCATCCACTGTGTGAACATAGTTTTTGTAGGTGTTTCTGTTGCAAGTATATTGAGCATATTGTGGTGTTCACGAAATTCTAATTTGCGGTTGTCTTTGATATGATAAAGACAATTCTAGTACAAACAGATCAACAAACTGAAAGTGAAAATATAAGATTTAAGATATGACTGTATGTTTAAATAATAGGTATTCAGAACAATAGTTTGCGAAATAATTAATTTACCTGTTGTCGATTTGGTTCCACATTTGCGTGAATGTCTTCCGATTGTGAGTTGATAATTTTTTCTTAGAATCTTACATGTCCATGCTTGTAGGTTTCGAATAATTGTCATTATATCCTAAAAGCAGTAAATTAGTTGTTGAAAAACATATATTCAAAATAGAAATTTTAAAAAATTCAAGTCAACAAAATTTTAACCTACAATAAAGAAAGAAATATTGCCACCATTATAACATTGAGTCAGTATTTATTCGAATTTTGTAAAGAAGAAGCAACGTACCTACTATGAGTTTTGGAACCGATCAGTTAAGATCGTTGTGATGTAATGGATTATAGCAGAGTTATAAAGAAGCAAAGTACAGAACATTTGAAAGATTTTTTGGAAGAGGCAGAACCGTAAAAACAGACTGACAGATCCAGATCAATTAGAGTCAAAAGTTTCAGTACTAATGACCTTAAGTATAGATCAATCCAACTTCTTAAGATCACTCGTTGTTAAAATTTTCATCAAAACAAAGTAATAATGATCTTAAGTATATTATACCTGCTAAGAAATAGCTATGTTATGAAGGTGTTGTTGGAACAAATGTCACAGTGTACAAAACCCATTACATTAATATTTGAGTGGATCTTGGTGGATGAACCTGGTTACAAAGTGAATGTGTGCACAAACATAACCGAAGTAATACTATCATTAGTTCCATTGCAGGAGAATTAGTGAAGAAGAAGCTTTTTGGGTCTTGACAGATATTAGGAAACTGTTACGTATGTGATTATTTTGGATATACTGTATATGTAGTGTATTAAATTTAAGAGCAATTACCACTTTATACAAATGAAACTAAGTAAAACATAATGACTCAGTAATGATACAATACCAAAGGAAAAGATGTTCAATAAAACTTTTAAAGCTGTCAAAAATGAACTTATACAAATTATAAAATTCTTCCGACAGTGAAGAATAGTCTCATACGTTCAATTTAAGTTGGTTTGGCCTGTTCTATTTCAATAATTCTAGAGATTGGTAGGATCTTATGTGATCGACGCAACCAATAAAGAATACATAGCATGAGATCAGACATTCGATATATCATATATACTGTATATAAGAGATTTGTCGCTCTTCAATCATTATTTTCTGAAAGAATTTTACTTAATTTTTGTTAAACCATGCTTGCTATTGGAACAACAACATATTCGACACTGAATAAGAGAAATGGTCTATTATCAAAATTGTTTTACCCTTTTCTCAGTTATCAGTTTGTTTTCTCCAAACACGAGAAGGCTGTCAACATAGGCAACTGTAATAAAAACTCCTTCAATCTTATTGCTTGTACCAGCAGCAGAAATAAACCTTCCCAACGGAAATCCAAGGAAAGATATCCCTTCTTGGTAATGTACAAAGGTAGAACATATTGTGGATGACAGTAATGGAGGATTGACCCCATTTCACCTGTCTATGTTTTGTATCCAGCGTGTCAGTATCTAATTTAAGTGTTGAACCATTGAAATAAGATTTTTATATGTGAAATTGTGTATGGTCTGGAGGGGCAGACGTTATACATGGGCACATTCCAAAAAGCCAGATACAAATCACTTGCTTTCAGCTGGCCAAGTTTCATGAAACGTTATTGTTAATTGCATTCAAAGATATTTCAGTCTGTTTAGTACATAACAATGTAGTTCTAATCAATTGTTAGTGCTACTTTTAAAGTTTGTAGTCTTAGCACAATTTTAATTTTAGTCCCACATCTAATAATCAAGAATACGACCGAGGATGGAGTCGATATAAAATTAAGCTTAAGTTGGTGGTAAAGGCATCCCTTGTCGGCCTTTTGGCTAAGATCAAGTGCAGTATTTGTTCTTATCAGTTTAATATTTGATACGTGGGGCAATGCCTCACACGATAAAAAATTTAATTTTTTTCGAGGGAAAGTCCACCACAATAGCTTGCTATCGGGACCTTCATGTGTCGCATTTGCGTTGCACTACTGCAAGGGCTTCGCACACCTCAGCGAACAAAAATATAAGTTTTGTTCAAAGAAGACAGTTCTGGCAGTCAACCATTTTTTAGTACTCGGCATTGTTCTATTGTAGTCTGCACATCTACAGTCACCAAACAATGTGTCTTATTTATTGCTCTATGAGAAACTGTATTCTGATGTGGTGAAAACTTAACATTATAGCGAAATACAGTACTGGCCCTCATCCAAATTCTATCATTTTGTGGAAGGTAAATTTCGTTCCAATACAGTACCCTTTTAGGCCAATACAAACTTAGTCAATCAGAAACATTCCTAAGGAACAAAATTTCCTTCTGTAAGATGCATGCTGTTATGTGGACGATGTTCACGTTCTACAAATAAAATCTACAAACCATGGATCTACAAATAAAATCGTCAGGATCAAAAAGATCCTTTGAATCTACAAATCATGAATACAAACTGACACACAGACTCAATATATTGCTCAATAAAAATTGTAAACTATTACAAATATTTATTTTTTAAGAAATTTGATAACACAGTAATATCTAAAAACATGATTTTTTTGTACTAAAGTTTAGTTGCAGTAAAGCATTGTTCATGCATAATGGAGAATGTTTCCGTTTAGTTTTTCCTCGATCTCTTTGTCTTTTAAATTGGTTTAAAGTTTGCAATTTGGAGTAGTGTCTTCTATTTCCGAATCCGAATTTTGTTCTCCATTACAATTAAAAACCTGCATTGATTGTT